ACAATAAGAAAATCACAAAAAGTCGTGAGAAAATAAATTGACAAAGGTCGAAGATCTTAAAAATAATTGCAAATATGTGGTATTGGCAAAAATGACATAAAAAATATATTATTTTAATCAACAATACATTCTGCAGGAAAGTGCTGACAAAAGGATATTTGAATACAAGTTTATTATACTCGATTGATGAACGGAATTCAAATAGTAAGGTCTTAAAATGGCAATTTGTTTATGCAACACAATTTAAGACTTAAAACTTTATGCAGCAGAGTTATAAACAAAATATCCAAAATCAAAATTTTCAATTTTCAAAGCACCTGAATTATAACTCTGTTGCATTGCTATAGATATTACAGATGTGAAGGCTAGAGATTAAGATCAAAGTTTTGAACTCCTTTCAGAACATTTGAAGATCTACGTTTTTTTAACATTTTTACAAATTATGCTTACTCAAAAAATTTCAGGCAACACAGGGCAGGCAACACAAATCCTTCCTCAATTTTTTTTATTAAAAATTTTTTAAACTTATTTCTATATGTATTCAAGAGACAGTGTCTAGTGGATGAGTTTTAAAATTTATATAATTGAAAAATGCCTTTTATAAACATATTAAATGAATGACAAGTCAATATTTCTCATTAAAAACATATAATTGCATTAAAATTTCATTTCGTAAAAATTACTTAAATCATCAATAAAAATTAATTAATGTGTGACACAGAAAAATATCGCGGAAAAGTTCAAATGATTCAACTTTGATTTAAAATGAGAAAATCCTTTCATTGCAAATCTTTATTACCAATAAATATTTATCAATGAATCATTAGGGTTTTTGAAATCGATTATTCAAAAGTGTGCATGCTTGACAAGTTTTCTCGCTTTTGGAAAAAATAGGTTAGTCAAACATTTTTTTTGATGAAAAAAAACAATATAAAGGAAAAAGGTTGAAATTCAAGCACACATGCGATATTCATTTACTCTTTAAATAAAATATGAAATGTTGCCAATTTACTACGTCAAAATAAAAGAGAACAGTGAAAAGAACAAAATTAAGTTGGTTGTCATTTACAAATGATGTCCAACTAATGTGAGGAGGAATGTTGATGCTTATGTGATACTTTATAAAGGTTTTAAATCCAATTAATTGATTGACGTCATTTAAGAACGAATTTAGGAATTACCCGCAGCTTATTCAAATTTATCTTGCTTTCACATTTTTATTTTTTGATGACATTTTTTTCTCTCCAAAAAAATTACTCTATGTTATGTTAATGACAAAATACACTAAAAATAACATTTTTATTTGATATGCCATTAATCAAAATGAGAATGCTCTATTTTGTGTTACGAAACAAACACAATTGCAGAATGTTTATTGTACCTCCCTCAATTATACGCAAGAGCAATTGTGTTCTCACACTTCTATTATGTGTCATCGATAGAATCACAGTCTATTAAAATGTATGAAAATTATTTATTAATAAAATCATCAGGTTAACGATCTATTTAACATAATAAAATGAGTGTTCCCGTTTTTACTAACTCGAACTATTGAAAAACTTACATATGTGTATCGCCATATATACATTTCCGTTTACTGTTGCTTCATTTTCTTTTTTTATGTGCAAAAAGAAAATTGGAACTGAACATGCATGTGTGTAAACACAAATATTGCACTTTCATTATCTAATTAATTGCCTTTGAAAAATTACTTTCTCCTTCTTTAAAAACTTTTCATTTTTTTTTCAGTGCTATTTTCCATGAGCATTTGTTCTTCTTTTTCTTATTAAAGAAGATCAAGACTTATTAAACAATTAAAAATCTTGAAAACTATAAATCATCTAATGAATATCTTAACCTTGGGTTATTTTGATTTAGTTTTTCGTCATCTGCGTAATTACATATAAAATCATTGCGATGATTTTTGGGATTTACAGAACATTTTCGCTGATTTCTAAAATTTCCCCAAAAAATACCTTGCATATTTGACGATGGAATTGCTGATTTAGAATGGCATTATATGCTCATAATAAAAGGAATTAATTAATTTCTGAAAGTAAGGTATTGCATAAATTAAGATTCAAAAACCTTTGGACCCTTTTCTTATCATCAAATAATACAACCGTATACATGCAAAAACAGAAAAAACCACAAATTTGAAATTTGAGATAGCAAAGATAAGCATGAGAAGATTAAAAGTTCATTTTGTAATGAATAAAGTGAAATGTGCAAAGACGAATATGGAATTAGACATTAAAATCCTTCCAATCTTCAAACGTGTAGTAATAATTTTAACAATTTTAGATAGATTAGTAATAAAAACCAATTTACGGATGAGATTCAACTTTATAATTAAACATTTAAATAATAAAACCGAGTCTGTCGTTAAAGACTTGTAACTTATTATCATGATCGAAAGAGTCAATGAATCTTTTCGTTGCCAAATTTATCACATTACAAAAATTTCCGATTGTATAATTTTTCAGACAAGATTTAAAAATAAAATAAAGAAGAATTCGAAACTTTTTTCGCATATGACTTGTTACAGAGGAACATTACAGCAAAGAGAAAAATGAGATTATATTTGATTTTTGATTATTATCTAAATCGAATCGATTTTTGACATTTTATTATAAAGTATGTATGACGGACACAAAGAAGACGAAGGATTTCAAATAAAATTCAAATGGTTACAAAATGGTGCCCTGTGTCACTTGGGATATACCCACCATTCTCTAATGCTCTCCCAACAAGTTATTTGCAAGTTATTGAAAAATAAACCATGAAATCTTTTCAAGCTATGGATATACCAAATTTTTTTGGACCTTCAATTTTCATTTCTTATTTGTTCTATTGTCAGGCAAAATATTGAATAGAAAATGACTCAAAAGTTTTGTTGATCAATATTTTGAAACATATTTAAAGTGGCATTCAAAGTTGAAAATATTCAATCAAAATTCATTGGAATTGAAGTGTCATGGAGTGATCATGAATATATGAATTTTGCATGAGTAATAAAGCTCTTGCGAAATAATTAACAATAATATGAGGCTTTTAATATGTAATTTTTTATACAATATTTCTGCTTATTTACTCATGATACTCAAGTTTTTCTTTGTATTTTATTTATATTAAGGAAATTGTTTAAATTTAAATTTCTTTAGAATCTTAATCATACAATAAATTATATCGGTTTACTTTTTAATTCTTGAATAAAAATATTTTTTTTATAAAATAATAAAAAAGAAGATTATTAAAAACTTTCTTTTCAGCATCATAATTTTACAATTTCATATATTTGATGTTAAATTAACTCAAGTGCTGCTTCTTTAATTAATTTTTATCATTGAAAGTGAAATTTTTATTTTATATTCACTCATGTACGCAACTACAATTATTGTATTTCATATATTTCCAACAATTCATATACCTCAAAAAGGTGATGTACACAATAAATTATGCTGATATAGTGTTAATACTAAGAAAGCAAACATGTTTTTATTAAAAGAAATAAATGTTTTCGGCCAAATCAAGTTACATAAAAAACTTCAAATGAATAAAAATCATGAGAAAACTAATTAAAACTTAAAAATAAAAAATCTTGTAAACTTTAACATAAATAATTGCTTTGAAATGAGAACCTTAATACATACAACAGATGCTAGTTATAATAATAAAAAAATAAATTTTAATTTTGGAAGTGTTGAGACTTATTGATAAATATTTATATAAAAAGAAGTTGGTAACTGATTTTTCGGGGTATATTGATAAAATTGGAAGTGGAGCAACTATGTGTATAATTTGAAATTGCTTAATAATGAGCACGCACATGTAGCTGATAAGGTTCATTACTTAAACGACCTTCACTTTCCCTCGTTATCACACAGTCAGCTAATTTAATTGCATGAAATATTTTTTCTTTTCCGGGCGTGAAATGCTTTTCTATTATTTTTTTCTGTTTGTTTGTTTTCACTGAATCAGCTGAATTCCGTTTAATATGTTTTCAATGAAATTTTCAAATAAGTATGATTACTATTCAAAACTACAGAGAGTAAAAAAATATGTAAATACAAAAACTGTCACAGAGGTTTTCTTTATTTTTTTACTATTAAGCTTACAATTCATTTTTAAACTTATGTTGGAAACGACAAATTTTGTTTATGCATCGTTGTCAATAGTGAAAATTGTCAACTGAATAGAATAATTTTTCAACCTTACAGAAAATACGCCATTGACATCCCCCATGCGTATTATAAGCACCCGATACATTCGTATATATATAAAATCCAATTAAGAAAATCGTCATTTAATGTCGCAACATAGAAATGTGATTTGTATGCGACTCGATAATTTTAATAACCATGTAACATGGGAAATAAAATACAGAACCACGCGTGATATTTTTATGGGGGAAAATTTTTCAGTAAATTCACGTGTTCTTGCATAACGCTTACTTGCAGTACATTGTGTTGTAATGGATTTTAACGAAGAAAGGAAACAACTATATTTGTCATTAATCCACGATCTACTGTTTTAGAACGTGAAATATGACGACATTTTTGTTTCCATTCATCCAGACTTGTCACATTTATGCACATACATTTCCTGTTTTGCGTTTCGCGATTTTCTGTTTTCAGCTACCGTGTGCTGATAGTTTTACAGTTAATAATATTTTTGAATTTTTACAAATTACTAAGTTTTAAGTTTGTCTAGCAATTGATTTTTTTTTGTCTACACATGAACATTCATAAACATTTTAAAGACTCAATAAAAAAGATGCCTGTGTTCATGAGAAGAGAAGAAAAAAATCGATAGATTCATAAAGAAGAAACGAATGGAGATGACTCATAGAGTAATATTAAAACGTCTTTCGTTGGAAGAGTCTGCACAACTTCTAGGAAGCATTATTAGCAAAAAGGTTTCTTCTCATTCACAATATAATAAAATGGCAAGCAAGGCAATGTACAGCTAAGAAAAAAATAATTGTATGAATAATTTACTTCTCTTGTGTTTCTTTAATTTTTGATCCTTTGTTTCAACTTTTTTTTCTCTTCCTTTTGTGCTGTCTTTAATCTTCTCTCAATATAGTATATGTAGGTATATGCAATGGTTCAAACTTTGTGTAAAAAAACTTTCATACACTTGGATAAAAGATCTCTCTCAATTCACAATAAAACATGTAATGACACGAATATTCAGATTTTTTCTTTTTACTCTTTTTTATCCTGTTGGAAATTTTTCTTCTTGCAAAACTTTTGTATCTCGCTTATTAAGAACTTTAAACTAGCATTTAATTCTTTGTTTTTAAATAAAATTGAAACAAACAGAAAGAAAAATTATTTTTCCTTTATAATTGAATCTTATTTTTCCTTTTTAATATATTTTTAATATTTTATTTTGATTTTTAAGACATCCACTATTCGCGTCTTAATGTCTCGATGTTTTCTCCAAAACTAATTTTTCTCTTTTGATTTTACTGCGAAGCTAACAGACATGAAACCTGATATAATTCTCAGAAGAGAGAGAGAGAGAAAAATTACTGTACTGACTAAGTGTGAAAGAGAAATAGAGAGAAAATTGAACAGCAGAGTTGAAAAGACGGATTCATGACGTCATAACTTGCGTGAGAGCATGTTGAACATCAGTTGCATGAGCAATGTCTTTAGACATTTTGAATACTTTATTAAGATGAAGAATTTCAAACTTTCGTCTACAAAAATTGTCATCCGACTGTAACGTTGCCAGTTTTTCATGAGTGCATATCAACAGTGTGTATATGAGATTATGTAGAAACATGTGCAACAGGCTGACTAGAAGAGAAATTTTTTTACACTCTTTGCGCTGTAGAGGAGGTGTATAGGGATGTGACTCAAATCATTGAAATTTACATTAATAAGAGTTTCCAATTTCTCCTCAGACATGTTAATCATTTTCTTGTTACACAGCAATATTTTTGAATTAGGATGTTTGGATAAAATTGAGAGCAATAATGATAATTGAAAAGCAAATATTGTATTTTTTAGTGGAGGTGTCTCAAAAATTGGATTGTTTGATTTAGAAAACGAAAGTAATATATTTAACTATTAATTTTGGGATCAAAATTGAGAATCTTGTAACTGTTTATAGGAATTTGTGTCAAAAATTTCTCATTTTTTTGAATCTTATTATTAATCTGAAAGTAATTATTTTCTTAATATAAATTATCATGCAATGCTACAATTTAAGGGTTGATATTTTTTGAAGACATAATAACATAAATTGAAAACTTTCAATGCAAATTTTTATTTTCACATGAATGTTCTTATTTTAAAGAATGATTTATCTTGTTTTTTTTTATAAAATTTAATTTCATTAGAGCATGTTAAACAATCGAGTTATTCATAAAATAAAAAAATTCAGGTTTTCTCGTAGGAAAGCAAGAGAAGGATATTTACATTTTTAAATATAAATTTCTCATCACGCGATGACTTCCTATTCTAATTAAACTTGTCGGAAAGTTCTATGAATGATTTTCCGCAATGGAGAACTCAAATTAAAAGGAAGTTTTGTCATTTTAATAGGTGCAAAAATGTTTGAAATAATTACCTTACTGTACAAATTTGTTTTTTGTTATTTTTAATACATCATGTTGAAAAATGTCAGCAGTTTCTTGACATAAAGTGAAAATATTGTTTGTGTGCAAAACCAGAAAAGAAGGAATGAAGAACATAAAAAGGAAAGGTTACGTGAAATTCTGCAGATATAAAAAGGCAACGTCATAAACTTTGTCCTTGGATAATATGTTCCTTAGGGAACTGTTTGCATTCTCTCCATTTACAGACTCTCTGTTTCTCTCTGCGCAATACAAAAAACCGTTTATTTTCATCTCATCCCTTTCTGTTCAGAATGCACAAAAAATCAATTCTCTGCATTTTTTTTCTGCTCATTAGTTTTTACAAATAAATTAATTTGATACTGAATATTTATTTGCATTTGAAAAAAGAATGTAATGCTTGAACAAAATGCACAGTGTGAGCTATTGTGTCGAGTCTAAATCTAGGAAGTTTCACTCTAGAAAATAAATTTACATTCATTTCTAATGAGAAATTGCAATCTTCTTGTTATATGTACACAAACACTCTTATTTGTGTGGGCGAGTCAAGTCATCATGAGTTTACAAAGCAGTCACAATAGTTGCAGTAAATAATGATGGAAAGGTCGCAAAACTTCTCTCTTCTCTAGGAAGTAATTTATGGCTACTCATCTCCATACGAATATGTTAATAATATTCTTTTTAATTGGAGTTGAGATGTATATAAAGCGTGCAAAGATGAATTTATCATCGATTAAAAGGAATCTTCTTCCTATCACTTATTTTTTTTTGTTTTCAAACATCAACTTTAAAAGCTAGTAGATGCGCTTTAATTAAAAATAAATAAAGAATTAAATTTTAAGTATTTTAGCTTTTTAAATTTGTTTTCGATATTGCCATAAATTTATCATCGATAAAATTATTGAAAAATGGGTAAAATTAAATAATTAACGATAATGTGGTGGTTCATTATTTTATGCATATTTTTTTTTTGTCTTTCTATTAAATTAGACTTTTTTTTGAATCCCCTTTAGATTGTGTCTTGTCTTGAAACTTGAAACAATAAGGTGAATGATGTATGAAGATTTTTATACAGATCGGATTAATAAAATAATAATAATAATATTAGACAAAAATTTTAACTTAAAAACTAATTTAAATTTTTTCAAGTATAAATTTCATTTCATTTGAGTTGTATACTATCATGTACATTGCTGTTAAACTTTTAAAATAAATTGACGTTAACTACTTATTTAAAAGTTTCAATATAAAAGCTTGTTCAAAAGCAAGAGAACTTTTATTTTAAATAAAATTTGTTCCGTTGTTTTATTTCCTTTTTCTAAGTTTTTTTTTTCATTTCCCTAATCAGGTTCCATTCATTTCACTCATTTATTTATCGATTTTTAAATAGCCTATTAAACTACTTAGATGTAATTGAGGAGATAAACTTTTGACTTAAATTTTATTTCCGCTTGTAGAATTGGCAATAAATGTCTCGACATGAAAAAATAGCATTCAAATATTTGAAATAATCACATTTTGAAAATAAATATAAATAAATGGAATAGTTATTGGAAAATTATTTTTGTGATATGATATTGTGAAATATGCTTAACTCTTTAAGAGGTTTACTCATGACATCCAACATTCAGGGAGGTCGATTTTCCTAGTTTACAACTGTTACTCAATTTTTCGAGGCATGATGGTTTTTGAAAATAGAGACATTTGGTTATTGTGGTTCGAGTTCAATAAATCTCATTGTTGATTTACGTCATTTGTGCAAGAACCCCTTAATTCACGTTGATCATAAAATACTTACGTGATTTTTCATGTCATCAAACTCAAAATTAAATACACCAGAATTAATTCTCAAAAATCTTGGCTTATTATTCTTTATCGTCACTTTTTTTTGCATTTTCTTTTTCCTCAACAACATACAAAAATATCGCGTCATTATAAAGAGTCCTTTGGTTGAGAACTTTTTTAAACGAGTGCAAAATTGGAACTAAAAAGGCTTGCGGAAAATATGAGACAATAGCGAATTTTCATTTTTTTTGTAGTTTGTTTCCATGTTTATGCTTTAAAAAACAACAGAACTTGATAATGAAAATATGTTTAAATTTGCTTATATGCTGTTTATTATTTTATTTTTCTTTTTCAATTTTTCATTTTTGTAATTCGTGCTTTTCACAATAATTTAAACTAGTTTCAACCTTTTGCACAGTTATTCTGAAAGGTCATAAGTCTCAAGCGTAATACGGTTTTTATATTAATCAATTCAAAAAGGAACTCAGATAAATACAGGTCTGTTTTATACTATTATTATTTGAAGAAGACGTCAGCAAGGTATGTTTTTCAAGACTCATATGATTATTTGGACTCGTTTGTATCTCAAGCAAGGCTATACAAAACTTATCATAAAAAATTAAAACATTTGTTTAAACATTTTCTGTTTTAAATTACGTCGTACTCTAAAATAATAGTGATAGTTAACACGTATGAATTTATAATGAAATTTTTTTTATTGTTTCTAAGGAAAGTGCAATTTAGATGATTTTCTTGCAATGTATTAGGAACGTTTTATAATTGAATTTTATTTCAATTCAAATAGTACATTTAAACAGATAAACAGTAAATATGAGAAAATTCAACAACAATGTGAAAACTTGAGTATCCCAAAAAACATTAATAGAACATAAATATCGGTTCTTAGATTCTATTGAACCGAGTCTAGAACATTTACATTTAAATTGCGAAAAAATGTAAAACCTTAAATATCCTGCTTGACACATTGGCCAATTTCATTTCTTTCCATAGCAAAACAAAAATTGTCCATAAATAAACTATGTCAAAGCATAAAAACGTTTGTTTTTCGAATATTTGTAAGCAATTGAAACAATACTAATGCCGAAATTTAGACCTGAAATCAAAAACCATAAACTTTTTTAAACTTAAAAAATAAGAAACAATTTTTTTCTGATTCTAAAGATTTTATTTTACATTGAGAATAAAATAAACATGAAAGTTTAGAAGATGTATGTTGTTAAACATCTAATAACCTGAAATCTGAGCGAAGAACACTTTAATATCTATTGTTTGCTATCCTTTAATAATCCTTCAATTTTTCTTATTTTGTATCATAGATTTATTTTTTTGGTCCTTCTGCTTTAGCTGGACCTTCTGGTTTTGCTGGGGGTGCTGCTGGTTTTCCTGATTTCTTAATAGTCTTCTTTTTTGGTTCACCTGCTTTCTTTGCCTTCTTCTTCTTGTTTTTGCATTTTCCTCTGCAAGCTCCGTCTAAGTCAATTTCCAACTTGATCTTTGTTCCTCCATTCATTTCTGTGCATGCTTTTTTCAAAGCTTTTTCTTCAGCTCTCTTCTGTTTTTTTGCTTTGCATTTGTTATCACATGCAAGTGTGAAAGCGATGCAAGCGAGCACTACAAGAAATATTAAAGTGAATCTCATCGTACCTGTATGATGATTACTAAACGGTAACTAACGTGACGAAAGTAAAGTGATCTGTCCTTTTATATTAAAATATGCTTAAAAAATTTAATAATAGCTTTGAAAGCTCGCTCACTCTTAATCCATTTCTGGTGGGGGTAAAAGCTCTCGATTCTTATCAATACATTTAATTTTTATCAATAATATAAAGATAATGTTAGTAAATTTTAATTATCATTATATTATATCCACGATACAGTAAATTTATAAAAATAAGAAAATATATTCACAAATTTTTTTTATTGCAACCAACTTTAAACCTTTTAATAAATAAAGTTTAATTACATTGAACAACCATACAAGTTAAACTTTCCAGCAATTTCACGTAAAGACATGATAAAGTTCGATAATTTCAAATTAAGTCTTTCTAGCGATAAGTAGCGATAGGTGCAAAAAGAAAACTTTTTACTTATTTTTATTGGTGTTTTAAATAATGAGTGTGTATTTTCAGCAGCAATTGTAATAAAAGGAACAGTTATTGTATTGAATTGAATAAATAGACGTTGAGTTTATTCGAAGATACTTAATATTCAAACTATAGTACAAAACATATCCACCTCAAAATGAAGTTCTGGACATATTTCCTTTTTATTTTCGTCTTGCTTGCTTTTGCAAATGCAGATTCTAGCTCAACAGAGGAAGACGATGATGCATCTGCAGCTAGAGGCCCACTCAAACAAGGAAAGAATGAAGAATCTACATATGAGGAATCATCAGAATAAATTGCCTTACGCTGTGTCTATTATGGCATAAAATGTTGTAATGAATAAAATAAAGGAATGTTTTGATAAACTTTAAAATAACGTGGATTGTTTTTCTTTTTATTGGCACTGAATTTAAATTTTTTTTTATTCAGGTAAATTTTGGTTTACAGCTGAGCCTGGGTCTTTGCGTTTAATGATAGTTTAACGAGTTAATAATGAGATCTGATATTCTTTAAAACACTGTGTACATTATTTATTAGTTCAAAAAGCAGTTTGCAAAAACAAATTTTATGTCAAGTTTTGAATCTATTGATTTTATGTCGGTTTCGTAATGATTGAGTATAATTGAAAGGTAAAATATAAACAAAATAATATCAAATTATTATAAACTCTCTCATTAGTATCAAAAATCTGATTCGTCACACTTGATATAAGTGAACTAGAAATTGTTTTTCATATCATAAAATGTATGGCAGTAAATGAAATAATATCAATGATCAAATTTGAAAAGAAATAAAGCAGAAGATTAAATTTTTAATAAATTAAATGAAAATTTGTTTAGTATTTATTTGAAAAATATCATTGCCATTTATTAATATAAAACATTTTAATTTGATTATTTTGAATCATAGATTTTTTTCTTAAAAAAATATTAGATACTCAAAAATATGATATTAGTTTTTGAGAAGCCTTTAATTAACTTCTAATTCTTGAATGACCATGAAATAATCATAAACTGGAAAGAAATAAAAATAATGTTCTTATAGAAAATCAACAAATGATTAAAAATAAATTTAAGCAAAGTTTTCAATTAAAATATGTTTTTCTATATTTTTTATTTTGCAGAAAATAAATAACATAATTTTCTTGTTATGGCATCAAATATGTTACAAAGTTATTTTTCTTTACATCATTTAATAAATTAAGTGGATTTATTTTTTACATATAATATACTTTATCTTTGAACACATCAATCAGTATTAATTTTAAATATGATAAATAATTTGTCATTGCTGTTTTAGAAAATTAGATGAATCTTTAAATTAATTATTTATTGAATAAATCTCATCATAAATTAGTAATTTGTACATTAATGAGGGCCTTTTATTACATAAATCTCTGAAGACTGTTACCGAGGACATTCATTGAGAAGTACATTGTGGAGTTTATACATGTCAATCCAGTCAACTATTTCTAAACCATTATGGCCAGAATTAAGCTTAACATTACGTATGCATCCTTTAAAATTTTCTCGCATTAAAATTGAACGAGAAGTTGATGATTCTGAGGAATAAAAAAAACACATTTTATTATTAAAAAGATGTTTTTATTACCATATATTTAATCAAATGGCATCTTGTTTTTCAATAAAATAGTTTCCATTAAAGGCAAGTGACAAAAATATGGTATAAAAAACGATAAAGACATGAACTTCAATTATTTTACGTCTTATTTATAAAATTGCTGAATAATGAATTTAATCATTTTTTTGAATTTACCTGGAATCCCGCCAATGTAAAGAGGTGACTTCGTCAGCAGTTTTCCGATATTTTTACTTGATGCTACTACAGATTCCTTATCATCAATTCTTAATGCTATTTGATGGGTATCATAAAAGGCAGAAATATTATGCCATTTATTATCACAGATAGAATATTTTGTAGTCAATTTGACTTTAGCTCGTAATACTTCGCCATTGTTAAAGTCACATGACATAATTAACTGATTAGGATGTAAATAAACAAAAAATTAGAATATGCTTAATTAGATCTTGTTTTCTGTTAAAATTCTTACATTTCCATCAGAAATTTCGATTGAGAGACTTGGAGAGCCTGATGGTTCAGATATACTTAACAAAATTCCATTAAGTTCTGAAGTTTTGAAATCCATTTCAATTTCTAGATGCTTGCCGACATTGAATTCATTTTCTGTTTTAAAGATAAAAAAAATTATCTATTTATTCAACTGAAAACTTAATAATCTACAATTATCTTACTAAATTCTGCGTATGCATCTCCTGAGAAAAATGATCCTTTTTCAACTCTTGGGAAGCATTGACCCAAACCATGGAAATACTTTGTAAGATCTTGTGTGATTCCATTGACAGTAAATCGTCTGATACATCCCTTAAAGTCATCCTTCTTAGTAATAATTTCGCGATGTAAATTTGGAGCATTCATTGGTAGACCACCAATAAAGAAAGAGTTTGAAGCGAAAAATTTCTTTGGTATTTTTAAGGTTTTTAGACCTTCATTTTTATTTTTTCCATTAACAGATACTGTTAATGTAAGCAAATGATTTTTGACATCTATAGCAATATGCTGCCATTGACCATTATTAGATTTTATTGGAACTAAAATTTCTTCTCGTTTTCGACCACGAAGAACTAGATTTATTTGACCATTTCTAAGATAAAGGTATAGATAATGCTTTGGTTTATCTCTTGAATCCTGATTTAAAAAAAAGTTTGTTTGATTATGTTTTAAATTTTTAACTTATAATTAAAATCATTATTTCATAGACTTACAGGAACAGCAAAAAGAAATCCATCAGGATAGAATGTTCGATAATCAAATTGTATGTTAACATTTCTATGCCATATTGGTCGTGAATGCACTTGTATCATTGAGTAACTATATGGAGAATTTCCAAATTTAAATGCATTTGATTCATACGAATAACTGCCAACCTAGTCACGGGAAAAAATTCGATTTTGGTCTCAATCCTGTTATTATATTTTTTTAAGCAATGAATTTATACAATGAAAAGAAATTTATTTCAATCAAAGAATCTTTCTTCTGTTTTTATTGCATAGAAAGTAGTTTTTTTGAATAAAGCATATATATTTTTATACAAATGAAAAAGATAGCAGAATTAAGAGTAATTAAATAGTTAGTTTGTGCAACAGTATAAAGGCAGTGTGTGTACATTGGTTTATTTTATCTACATTGTTTCCCCGCAATCATCCTAGATATATAAATTAATTAGTAAGTGTTAATTGTTAGTGATCTAGAAGCTAAAATGTTACTAAAATATACTTACACGTTGACATCCTTCTGTGACTTCCTTAAATTTGGCTGCAATTGGTTCAGTCTTAATTTCTTGTTCAGAATTTAATCCCATGCTTGGACCATAGCCACCAAAATTCACACTTTTGTAGTTTATGGCAATATCAAATGAAATGGTTTTATTATTAAATACAAGATCTCTAATTGAGCCACGTAGTCCATTAAATGTAGGAACTACATTATCAAACTCTGGAAAATCGGGTGCACCTCCAATAAACAATCCATATTCTTCGGGACTATTAACACGTGTTGGTGTTTGAAAACTCTTGAAAGCTTCTAACTTATCATCAACACGTAATTCAAATTTCTTTCTATTTTTGTTCACATAAATAACATGAAACTCTCCATCATTATACGATGAATTTGTTTTCAACTCAATCTTTCCTTTGCCTGCATCAACCCAGAAAACAATTTGTCCATTTATCAATGAAATTGAAAAGTTTCCACGTTCATCTTTTCCATCAAAATCTTCAGCAGCTTGAGGTGGAAAACCAGAAAATAATAATAAACAATCGGTCTGTAGAGTTCGAAAAACAAATCCAAAGTTTCCTTTAGTCTTAAACGAGTGTGATGGCATTTCCAAATATCCGCTTCCATAAAATCCAACTTTATTGATTGTTTCTTTACATGTAGGCTCAATTCCATAAAAGTTTTGACTCTCTAGTGGATCAAATATTTCTCCATTAATTTGAAGATCACGCATACAACCAATGAACCCATTCTCAGCTCCAGGAGCCTTTGTTGTGCCAGATTTAAAGTCTGGTGAAACTCCACCGATATAAAATGGTGCTTTTGAAATACTTGGGAGCATTGCTCTTATTACTGGTTTTGATGGAGATCCTCTATGCTCATCATCATTATTTACTTTTAACATTCCATTTTCTGTATTTCCAGCTTTTGTAAACTGTCTTGCAGCTTCCACACTTACCCATTTGCCAGTATTATAACGATTTGTGGTATTGATTTCTAAAAGTGACTCATCACCATAATCAATTCTAAATACTAATTTACCCTCATGTATTGTCAATGAAATTGAACGGTTCTAAAATAAAAAAAAAAAAAAACAAAAATTATTAAATAAAACTTGATTCTTTGTAAATGGACTTACGTTTGTTTCATCGACTGTTAAAAATAATAAGGCATTTTCATCCATTGTTCGGAATGTCATTTGTAATGAAAAAATATCCCATCGTGGTGGTCGTGAATTCACTCTATAAACAACAGAATATCCGTTTCCATTAAAATAACGTGAATTTGAATTATCAGATGATTCCGTGGCGCCTAACATTGCTCCTTCACACTTTCCTTCAGATGAAGCAAAATGCCATAAACCAATTTGCTTATCGTCAATGAAAATTTGATGAATAATGACTGAAAGACCATTTTTCATTTGCATTTCTTTTGGTCTTAAATTGTCAGGAACCCCACCGATATAAATTCGATTGTGATTTGAGATTGAAAATCTTGTAAAATTTAAAGTTGTTGCACCATTAACAGGAGTTGATTGTGTAAATGTTCCACTATTTGTCATTCTACTAACAATTAAGCTACCAAGGTTAAGGTTACGTGAAATTTCAATCTTGTACCATGCATCGTCATATTTTGGATCGCGTGTTTGAATTTCTAATGGATGTATAATTGTGCCACTATCACCACCTAAATTCCATATGAAATAAATCTTTCTGTTGAACATTTCAAGGGCTAAAAATTTTCCATCATCGCCTTCCACAAATATTAATGGTGAATTTATATTTCTTGAGTTTAATGCAAATGTCATTACAACTTGATTTGATATAGAGACACCGGTAATTGGAGGATAGAAGGAACGTACACATGAATCGTCTGATGATTCTAGTGAGACTCGAATCTAAAATAATTAAATTAATTAATTTTACTATCCGATGAAATAAAAAGATGCATTTACATTTTCTGCAGCATGTTTTGCCTTAGTAATTTTATCCCTTAATTCCTGAAGTCTAGTTGAAATTGAATCATTCCACGCACCAAATCGTTCTTGTTGCTTTTTAATTCGGTCTTCATGAGTAGTCCATGTCCGATTTGCTTCTCTAATATCAATTAGTGTCTTAGTGACTTGTTCTTCAGCTAATCCAAATTTACTGTCCCATTCTGGATCAAGTAAAGCTAATTTTTCTTTCAGGATTGATACATTATCACCTATTTCATTCACATCAGTATCAGTATTTTTTATATCTTCTAAAACATCGTCGATTAAATTAGCTGAATCTTGAATACTGTTTCTTGCTTCATTATTAGAAAGCTTTGTTATGAGCGATGACATTTCATTGTTCAATTTACCACTATTGTGAATTGTACTGCTCATTTTTTTGACTAGCTCTTGTTGCTGATTTAAAAATTTTTTAAGTTCTGAAATTATTATTTTTTTTTAAATTATTAGGGGGGTTGATTCTGTTGAACAATCTCATAGCACTTACCTTTAATTTTGTCAACTTGTTTTTCAGCATCCTCTTGTATTGCAACAGATTCCAGTGCTAAATCATTTCCTTTTTCAAGCATTGTTTCTTCATCTGGATCTGCTGGATTTAGCTGTTGATTACTATGAACTGCAGCCTCGTAAGCTTTATTAGCAGCTTTATTTGCTTCATTTATAGATTCTGCAATTTTACTGTATGCTGTTCCTGCTCGAACAGCCAATTGTGCTCCATCCTTACTATGTTGAAATAAACTGACAATGACTTTACTACGATCTGACAAATCCTGAGCATGTCTTTGTGCCTGAGTTAGTTGCGAGTTTTTGATTAAATTTATTTCGTCGTTACGTTCGGAAAGTGTTTTATCGACTTCATCATACATATTCAATAAGTTATCATTGGTAATTTTTGCTTTGTCCAAATTGTCATTAACTGATTCTAAACGCGATGCCGACGCAGCAACAACATTTTCGTTTAAAAGTTTATCTACTTCTAATGCCTGAGTTTCAAGTTGTGCTGCTTTTTCTTTCAGCTTCTCAAAATCGTTTTTATTTTTTGTTATAAATGCTTCTGTTTCTGATGAATCTCGAAAAACTCGATGTGTTAAATTTTTGAAATCATTTATTCGATTCTGAAGAGTCTCTTTATCTTTTATCAACTTGTCTAGTTTATCCTTTTGTTCTTTAGTATTTTTTAATTCCTCAGACCAAAAATCAAAATTATCATTTGCACATTTGGTGGTCTGGTCAGTGTTAGGAACATTTTGAGATTTTTTTGCGATTTCGTCTAAAAATAATTTAGCTTCTTTTAAGGCATTTGGTAGTTTAATGTGATGATCACTTGTTCCATAACTCTCTAAATTTATAATTGATTCTTGAATAGAAGATGATTGATCACGAGCATCAGTAATTAAATCTTCAGATTTCGTTTTTAATTCTTCAATTTTCTTGATTTTCTTGTCAGTTGTTGTGATAAATCTGTTTGCTTTATTTTGTAAGTTTTCTGATTGGAGCAAAAGCTTAAATGAGAAAATTAATAACGTTAAAAAATTCCTAATAGTGCATAAATTAATTTCAATCTACCTCATCTGTTGCAATGTCATTAAAATTGTCAACAGCATCCACAGCTTGGAAGAAATCATCAAAAGTGTTTGAATATATATTTGTTAAATTTGTCAGCTCATTAAGCTTGAACCATGGCGCTTTTAATTTATGTAAATCAACTCCATCTAAGTTGACATTAAAACTATACATCATTTCGTCAATACTATCAAGTAATGTTTGAGTGCAGTTGTCACATACTTTATAATATAAAAAAAAAATAATTAAAAAATGAATAATTTAAGTTTAAAAATATCTTACATTGACATTCATAATCAACAAGTAAATGACGTGGAAGTTCACATTTTTCGCATCGTCTTCCAGTCACACCTTTTTTACAATTGCATTGTCCATTCAAATAATCACATTTATCTGATACTATTCCTTCGATATTACAATCGCAGCTTTCGCACTTTCCTTCTGGTTCATGTGGTTGACCGAAATAACCTTTTGCACAGCGATCACATAATGCACCTGTGTAACCTTCCTTGCAAAAACAAGATACACCTTGTTGATCAACAAAGCATCCTTTAGCAAACTTTTTATTGGTTTCGGGACATGGACAAGATTTACATCCACTACGATCTGGATGACCATAAAACCCTTCTGCACATTTTTCGCAATTAAATCCTCCCGTATTGTCTAGACAATCCTGAAATAATTAGAATGATAAGTTTTCAAAGCTGAGTATAAGAATTAAAAAAACATACAAGACATTCGCCGGTTTCTTTATCACATGTGCTACTTCTTCCATTACATTCACACGGAATAATCTTTCCAACAAGATCTTCCAGCATATTTGTCGGTATTGTTACATTCCGCCATCTGTAATATCCATCAGCTGGATCTTGACAAGAGTCACCTGAATAAATCTCTGAACAAACACATTTTTCAATTCCAGATGCCATTGCCGCATTGTTATTTCCATTTCTTACCAGTCCAATATTCATCGTTGAATTTTGGAGCCTGCGTAAAAGATGTAAAATAGTTAATGATTCTTTTAAAGGAAAAATTTGATACGCTTACGTGACAGAGATGAAGTCTGATGAACTAGTAACTCGCAAATAAATATGTTTGATATTCTGTAATGCAGTCATCATTATCGCTCGACTAATGTTGTACCCGTTTGTAGCATGTCTCCAATATGTTTCATGTAAAATTATACTAAATGAATTTCCTTCTTCTTTTATCTCAACAGTTTGATAGAAATTTAATGTCAAATGATGATGAGTATGCATTTGTACCAAAGGATAATGCAAGTATTCATGATCCAAAACAGATCGGAATTCATAGTTTGTAAGGGAAAAATTAAGAAAGCCTCCATAGCTACTGGTTTTATCACCACAAAATTCTTTGGGTAATTCAATATAAAATGGTTTATTAAATGCACGACGGGATCCAATAGTCAAGTCTCCTGATAATCCAGGTAAAACAGAAAGGCCGTTAAATGTTGACAACTCCGCATTTTCTCGATAAATGTGATTATTTTTCATATGAGATAAAACTATGTATTCTATTTCACTATTATAACGACTTTGATGTTCAGTGATATATTGAACGGAGATTTTTCTTGGTCCCATAAGTCTCACTTGACCCCATATTAAATCATTTTGAGAACACTGCTGAGATCTACCGAAACAAAAGCATCTGGTACATCCATTTGGGTTGTATTGCGATAATCCGAATGTTGATTGACGGCATTCATCACATTTTAATCCAGTGACGAGTTCCTTACATGGACACTGCCCGTTCTCATCACATTCAGTTATTTTTCCATAACTGTAATATTTTGAGCCTCTAATGTCACAATTACATTTTTGACAATTTGGATAGCCATAATAACCTTTAGCACAATATTCACAATTTTGTCCAGAGTAGCCTTCTTTACATTCACATTGTCCAGTAAGAACATCACATGACTGTTTTATTGAACCGATAGATGTGCATTCACAATTTTTACATCCTTTTAAAGTTACAAGACCCCAAGTATTTGGATGACAATGTTGACATTCATTTCCATGACTTAATGGTGGACATACGCAGCGACCTGTTTCTTGGTCACAAATTTTTGAAGAACTATCGCAAGTGTTGCATTCTAAACAGAAATGAAGCATGAATAAAGTTATATGATTATTAAATAATAAATAGACATCCTACTTTTACATCCATTTGCAGAAAATCCGTAATAGCCATTTTTACATTTATCACATTTTGCACCTTCAATCCCATTTTTACAAGCACATTGGCCAGTATGAATGTCACATATATTATGTTCACTTCCATCAACATTGCACAAACATTCTTCACATCCTTTCTTTGAATCTAGATTCCAATATCCGTTTTCACAACGATCGCATGTTCTTCCAACGACATGTAGACGACATTTACATTGACCAGTTTTTGAATTACATACTCGATCTTCAGATCCGCTGACATGACAATTACAACCTGAAATTTAAATTAAAAAGATTTATTTATTAATGTTGTAAAATGTAGATTATAAGGAGATTAAATTCAGTTTGTTTTCTTAAGTAAATGTGACTTTATATTATGTCATGACTTCTAAAAGATTTAAATTTAAAATAGTCTTTATTAATTTTACTATCCTGATTCCTCCATTATATATCGTATCTTGAACAGAAATTTTATGTTTTATCTATGAACACTGTTTAATAAGCTATTTTTACTTTAATTGCAAAAGTTTATTATTTAAACTTATTTAATGTTTAGGTACATCAAAACTATACCTACGAAAAGGATTTAAATATTTAGATTATCAAGCTGGGTAAGAACAGAAAATCATTTCCACAATTTTGTATTAACAGCTTAGTTTGAAATTTTTATAGCTAGTTGTTTCCTCATATTTTTTGAAAACCATTTAATTAAAATAAAAGTAAAAAACTAGAAAGTTTTCTCGTTGCTATCAAAATTTTTTCAAAAAAAAAAACTACAAATAATTGTTAATCAAATTTTAACATGATAAACACGAATGCATTCATTCATTTATTTCATTCATAGTGGTCTTGCTAGCTATAAGCAAACAAATTGTACTAGCCCACGCTTAAACGATACCACATTGAACCACAGGCTTCCTTTTAAGAATTTTAAGAAATGGAAAAACATTGCTTTTATAAATTGCTCTACTCAATCACAAATCAAGAATAATTATGTTTGAAAATCGTGAATTTTATTGATATAATTGAAAAAAAATGTTGTAAAAATTATTTAAAGCAAGGGATGAAAACTTTGTGTAAATCTTAAAAATATTTTTTGCTAGGTTTAGGGTGAGAATAATATTTCTATACGAAATTTATAACGAATCGGGGGGGGGGGGGGGGGGGGTGGGGGCTAAAGATTCGTTTTGTCACGGAACGCAATCAGTGAAAGAAACCCTTGGTAAAATTGACAAAAAACCACCTTTTAGATTAACCTTATAATTGGATCGTATCAATAAACACTATAGTCAATAGTTAAGCCACATTGCTCAATGTTATGTAAAGCGAAGAAATATTTCTGTCTTAAAGAGAGCATTTAATAAAAATATTGAAAAGAGATTCATAAATAATTAAAAACAAGAACCGAAAAGATAAATGAAGGAAATTAATTGTGCTTATGATGAGGTTAATGTGAACAATTTTATATTCGTATTATAAAACCAGTTTGAAATTTTCCTTCATTACTTGTTCATTTCGATCAAAAGCTGGTAGATAAGACTGAAACTAAAATCTTTTTAATTTTTCGCTTAAGATGACAGAATGAAAGTGTTAATTAAATGGGTTTGCAAGATCTAGATTGAGTAAATCATCGTGTCACTATTTTAATATTTATGATCATTTTGTAACTAAATGACTATAAGCTTCTAATTTCAACAACCTAAATCAAATCATTTTTATTTTTGACATCTATAAACCTGAATATTGAGTTAATGGATATTTACAGACGTTTTAAAAATTTATACGCTTGTGTAGTTAAGATCTCAAATTTCTTTCTGCTTCATTTCGCAGATTATAATTATTTAAAATTCACATAAGTTTATTCTTCTTACGCCATAACAAGCCATAACACATGTTATCAATTTTATAATTTGTTTGAAATTCATATTATTTATGTTGATTATTTAAAAAGCAAGATCTGCAAAAATTGTAAACCATATGAAATCTATTAGCTAAAACGTTACTCATTTTAAAACATTCAACATTCGTTTAAAACAATGAAGCAATGACGAATAAATTTTTCGATATATTCTAATTTATATGATTGAATTTAAAAACGAAATGTAATTTTTTTATCATGCAATATCTTATTTTGAAATTCATTAGTTTAATAGCACTTTAAGTTTTAAACCTACGGCATCTTTGTATCAGAAAAAATATAAATAAATAATTGCCCCTAAGACAAGAACATGACAACAAAGATTGATCTTTAATAAAAGAACGAACAGTTTTGTAATGCTTAAGAGCCTATCAATTTTAGCCAGTTTTCACTTTAGATAGAATTACACACTTCATTACCACATGGCTTTATCGAATGTAAATAGATTCTTATACAATGTGTAAACATTTTAACTTGATTTTATAATGCTTTTGATTTTTTTAACCCTAATAGTAACAATAAAATGTAAGATGTGTGAGAAAAGAATAGAATAAAATTTTTGTTTAAAAAGTGCTAAAACATCTATATGTAGGAACATAATATAATGAGCACAATCAATGGTGTTTCTTCAATTATTTTTTTGCTTGACATTTCAAAAGTTTTGAAACAATAATCTTCAGTCTGCCTTATATTTTTTTTTTAAAAAAAAACTCGGTTTGTGTGTTGCAGAACCAGGTTTGAGAAACACTGTCATAAAAAAGAACACGTTTTAGACGAAATTCGCACCGAGTAAAAACATTTTACTTAACATTGCTTTTAAGAATAACTAAGTCATTATATGAATATCTTAAGAATGTTGATGAAAAACTAACGACGGTGATCAAACAAGAGAGAAAAGAAATAATATTTTTTCCTAATTGAAATGGAGTTTTGCTTCAGAATGCTTTGTATATTTTTTTAATTTCAATTCCAATGATGAATGATCTTAATGGATAATTAATGAGTGTAAAAGGCGCACATTAACATCAGCCACATAATCTATTAATTTTGACTGCTTCACATTTCTGTTTGAGTTACGTTTTAAAGGTTTCTTCTTTTATTCCTTCTTAAATTGATGTGTGAGAACTTTGCTGAATAAACCGTTAATTTGTTTAACCTAATAACTTTCTTACTTTAACTTTTTTCATTCTTTTCATACAACATTCTCATCTACTCACTTTTGTTTGAAATTGAAAAGAAATTACTGCTACAAAGCTATCAATCATCTTAATATTATTAATTTGCTTTAATATCTCAATATGTATATAATTCCCATGTATATACATAAAGCTTAAAATCATTCATTTGAAACGTTCAAATGTCAAGATGCTATACAAGTATGTTATAATCAAGAATTCCGAAAATGGATAAAAGGAATCTTAAAAATCCTCCTCTAATTACATCATCAAATGTATAATTTTTTGCTAAATATAAACATTAACTCAACCATCAATGCTTCAAACGAATTCATTCATAAATAAAACAATTTTATTTCAAAAAATTTAAAGTAAATGAAATAATAAAAAAGTGCTGTTGATGTTGGAAAGGAGGAAAAAAAACTTGATTTTCATTCATAACATATATCTTCGTTTTCTCTCTCACTCTCTCACGCGTGCATCTTATGAAATTCATTTAATTCACGCGACTTCTTGAATAAGTAATATTGTTGGGTCAAGCGTTTATTCGAAGATTTCTTTTCCTTAGGGGATCCAATAATTTTTAAGAAAATTTTCTTGTCATGAAATATTTAAATAACTAATGTCTGCATCGTGAAAAATGTCAGTAAAATTTTTTCGGTACACTGATTTATTATATGTTCTATTTGCTGTGTTCTAAGGGTTTATTTTTTGAAATTTTGGTGCTCGGTTTATAAAACTTCTTGATCCTTAAAATTATCTCAATTTTTTCTTCTTGAAAATTGTGCAAGCATCGACTTGATAATCTTTAAATGTTTGGACACAAATCTTAAAAAATTGTATTACATTTTTTCCCACTAATAATTTTAATCTACAAACTGTTATATCAAAATTTAATACAAAATTCGAAAATGTGGGAGTTGGAGTCTCTGATGGCTACAAAAATTCTAGTTTTTGAATAACACCATTAACAAATGGCAACATTTAAATTTTCTGTTATTATATACACACATTATAAAACTCAAGAAGCTGTTGAAACAAACAGCAAGTTCCATCATATATGCTTATTATTCAAGTACCGGCAATTAATTAAATGAATTTGTTAGCATACCGATAAAATGCATGATCCAATCAGCTAACAAAAAAGTTTCATCTCTATTTACAAACTAATGCAATATCTCTTAATTTATAGCGTGGGTGTTTTCTCTCTTCACTCTTACGAGCAATAATATTTTAACTACTTTTCGATTCTTTCTTTTTTATGCTTGCAATATACCCGGTAGACAGTCGACAGTCTTTTTATTGTTAACAACAACAGCGGAGAATATTGAATGGAAAGACGGAATGTATTTTAATTTATGATTCAACTTGAATCAGTTCACGTTATAAGTCACATACAACAAAAAAAGAGTTGCGGAACGAAAAAAAAAATTAAAAGTAAAGAGACGAAAAAGAAACAAGACAGACGACTTCCCACATGAGTGAAATGAAAAAAAAACACCACGTTTTCTTACGACGATCAAGAAGATTGCTTACGGACGAAATGTAGTGAATGAATGAATGAATAAATACGTTTATATAGGTAAATAATATTTTTGCTATGTATAAACTCGTGTATGCCATGAAAAGATGATGGCGATGATGATGATGAGACTGAAATTGATATTCGATATCTGCTCATATGCATTTTATAATAATAACATAGATCGCATCAACATTATTATATATTAAATTGCAAAGTCTTTCTCTCATGAAATTTTTTATGCTCGTGAAGCAAAAAACAAACAAAATAAAGTCAAAGAAGAAAGAAAATGAAAATGAAATGCAATGAACATAAACATTCAACGTGCACACATACCCACTCTTTGCCGAGCCCTTAAATTTTCTAATTGCTTTGATGGCTTACTAATAGGAATACATTTGTAGCCTTTAAATATGTAAATGCCACCATCATTTGAATGACGATGAACAATATCATTATTTGACTGCTGTTGACGATAATGTCTCTCACTACTCTCATGAACTAATAAATTTTCACTATAATCCTTTGGTATTTTATTTTCATTTGCGGCAACCTTCTTTTGTTGTTCACTATTGTTTGAATTTAACAAATCACTTGATCGTTTGACTTTCTTATTCTTAATATCATTAATATTATTATTATTATTATTATTATTAATA